GTTATGGTTATGGTTATGGTTATGGTTATGGTTATGGATTAAATCTTTGGCATAGTTAAGGATGAAGGATGTTTAAATAACTGTAGTCAACTAAAAGTGGAGGTATGATGATGTCAATATGGTAAACACTTGAGTTAAGATATTTGAATTAATATGAATTAATGGAAGAGATGCACCAAAACATGTTGTAACCAGCTGATATACTTTTTTATAATATATACTTGTGTTTTTTCTTTTTTTTCTTTTGTTTTTTTTCTTTCTTTTTTTTCCCACTGCCTTGTTTTCTGTTTTTTGTCTGTTTTGTGTTTTGATTTTTTCTTTTCCCACTGGTGTGGGTATGTGTTGTTTATGTAACAAAATAAAAAATAAAAAAAATTAATAACAAAAAAAGAAAGAAAGTTGTAAGCATCCTGAAAGAAAGCTGTAGCAAACCATTTCTGTTGCTAAGAAGGGTTCATGATGATAAAATCACCAAGAATCATACTCCATTCAAGAGTTCTTATTTCCAAATTTGAGAAGAGATGAATGGAAATTAGAAATATAATAAGTACCAATAGCTGGGAAGATTTTGAATGGGAATTTGTTTTCCATATTTTTATAGGCATGGCTGGGCAGAAGCATTTGCTGGTATTAGGAGTCCACATGTAAAGTATATTTGTCCGCATGCGTAAGTATGTTAATATTTTCTGGTTGCTGTTTCCTTACAGTTCTCAATAATAAATCTGACAGAATTATGTGACCTGTTTATGAGAAAGAAATTACAAGTACTCCTTGACTTACAGCCATAATGGAGCTTGAACATTATGATTGCAAGTCAGGACAGTCGTTAAGTGAGGCACCCATGTGATTACTCTCTCAACGACTGCTACCCTAATTCTTCCAGGTGCAGTCACTAAGCAACTTTGCATATAATTGAAAGGACAGAAGGAAAGAGCTCCCTGCCAAAAGAGAGCATGCAGCTCCTCTCTACGTACAGAAGGAAATTCCTGCTCTGGGCTAGGGTTATGGTTTGGACCTCAAAAATTCCTTTCATTGGCCCAGCATGCCTATTTTTGTCCCATCTAAGTGCTAACGTTTTGTGTATTTAAAGATGGAAGAAAGGTTCCCCACCTCTTTCAGAAAGAGTCCCTCCCAAGAGCAGCCCTTCCACTGTTAAGACACGGGCTTCAAAAGTCCATGGTGATACACATTTCTTTTTCCCTGGATCTGCTTCCTTATTCCTATTGCTTAATTTTGAAGAAGCTCCAGTCTACCTAATTAAGAGGTGTGGTAGCAGACTGGTTAGAATCCAGTATTGCAACTAACTCTGCCCACACATCAGTAATTGGATCCTGACTGGCCCAAGGTTGACTAGGCCTTCCAGACTTCCAGATCAGTAAAATAAGGACCCAGATTGTTGGGGGCAATATGTTGACATTGTACACAGAGAGTGCTGTAAAGCACTATGGAGGACTACACTAGTCCTTGACTTATGACCACAATTGAGCCCAACATTTCTGTTGCTAAGTGAATCATTCAAGTCAATTTTGCCCCTTTTTATGACCTATCTTGCCACAGTTAGTAAGTGAATCATTGCAGTTGTTAAGTTAGTAATGGGGTTGTTAAGTGAATCGGGCTTTGCCAGTGACTTTGCTTATAAGAAGGTTGCAAAAGGTTATCACATGACCCCAGGACATTGCAGCTGTCATAAATATAAGTCAGTTGCCAAATGTCTGGATTTTTATCACATGACCATGGGGATGCTGCAACCATCATAATTGTGAAAAATAATCATAAATATTTTTTTCAGTGCCATTGTAACTTTGAACAGTCACTAAATAAACTGTTGTAAGTTGAGAACTACCTATATATCAGTCTAAGTACTATTGCTAATTCTTAGCCAATGAATCCTCTTTACACTGATATGGATGGATGGATGGATGGATGGATGGATGGATAATTTCCCTGAAAATAAGACCTTCATGAATAACGAGCCCAATCGGGCTTTTGAGTGCATGCACCAAAATAAGCCCTCTTCTGAAAATAAGGACTTTGAATCGCTTGCCCAGCCGGTACCTGCCATTTCCTTGGGGGGGGGGGGATGGGACGGAATATGCCCCACACACACCTGCCACCCACACAGAACAGCCTCATGGAGGCGGCTACGGCAAGCCCTAGCACTCCTCTTAGTGACGGCTGCAAAAAGAATAGCAAGCCCAGTGACGTGCCTCGCACTTCCAGCTTTGTCTACTAATAACTGTGTGATAGTCGCAGCAAGCCATCCCTCTTCATGAAGTAGCTGCTTCTCCAGTGCCGCTCAGGTCTCCGCCTTGAGCAACTGTGATCACTTTTGCAGCTGCAAAAGCGGTAGGAGATCCAGCTATGTGCTTCTTGTTGCTTTCAGTGGAAACGGCATGAGGCGTGGGACTCCTCACTGGACCTCATGCCGCTTTTGCAACTGCGAAAACGGCCACAGTTGCTGGAGGCAGTGGCCTCAGCGGCACCAACGAAACAGCTACTTTGTAAATGTTGGGATGGCTTGCTGCGACCATTTAAACAATTGTTTCATCTTCTCTGGAATATAAACTTTGAATAGATATTAATATAGATTATCACAATGTGATAAGAAATGAAAAGAGATGCATTAAGGAACAGCATGATGCAATTCTATGATTTTTAAAAAGTAAAAACATTCTTAACATTTTTTTAAACGCAGAAGCAAATATTTAAAACATTATTGCTGACTTTTAACTTGAATCTTTCTTTACACAATTTCAAGGCCTGTCATGCCAGTTTCTCTCAACATGAATATGGCCATGCCTTCCTGGTAAGTGAGGGATTAAATTTTTTCGCCGTTCTTTGTTTTTAAGTTTGAAACATTCTGGTGCTTATTTATTCCTGTGATTTATACTGTTCATGCTAAAAAAATAATAATGAATAATAAATGGAAAGGAACTTAATTAGCCACTGATTCTAATTTCATATGACCCATTTCATGAGTTATTTCCTTACCAGAATGATAAATGGCCATGCAGTTAAGAGTCTTAAAAGTTCTTGCCAAGTGGACCCCTCATCAACTAAATCAAATGATAAATGAGTTTTTGGAATCAGATTGCCTTTAAAGACTTCAATTTTCCTTGTCATCAGCTAGATATCCCCTAATGCACTAATGAAGAACAACAACACGTTTTCCAAAGAGAACCAATACTGCCTGACCCACAATAATTAGTTACACCACTACCACTTAAAGAGCTGTGTTAATTATAAAAATAGCTCTTGTTACCACTTCCCAGGCTTATGTACCCACTATTGTACAGCTGCATTGGATTTTTTCCAGCAGAAGGGATACAATAAACAATGGTTGGTGTGCAAGAAATGGGAAGTCCTGAAAAACAATTGGATGCAACTCATTCAGGCAGAAACATTTAATGACTCAGCCTCATTTGAGCATATCACATCAAGCTCTCATAACAGTGCATCATTATGTACCACTTCCTCAGGAGTCAGGAAATGTATTTTCTGAAACCTATGAGGACATTTCTGTAGAATTAGGAATCCTATGCAAGCTATCAAACAGTTGCCAACATTGACATTCATGACCAAATCCTTATACAGACCATTAAAAGCAATCTGGTTTTCTGGGCTTCTTATCTGGCTTCCCTCTACCTGTATTGACACCTTGGCTGAGTCTGCAAGGATTTGAGACTTTCAATATTTGTTCCTAATTATAAAAAAGAGAGATGATATCTTTCTAATTATAGAGCTATTGGCCTTCTCAACATCAGCAGCAAGCTGTATACAAGATGCCTACAGTGGAAATTCTGGAAGTGGTTGAAACGAGAAAGTCTGCTTGAGAAGTCAATTGACATTAATCAGTAGCTTGTACTCCAGCACTTCATTGAAAGTATTTTTCGCATCTCCCTGTATATTGCTTTTGTTGATTTTAAGCAATGTTTTATTCCATATACTGAGCTAAAATGTAGAAGTTGGAGGCCTTCTTAGGCCAGAATTTACTTCATTTCATATATATAACACATGAAGGCATTTCATTCAGACTAAGATTTAACCCCATGCCCTTACCAGTGCTATTAAAACTGAGAAAAGCATTAAAGCAAGACTGCATGTTGGCCTAACACCTATTCAACTTCTATATTAATTCTTTAGTGGGCCATCTCCATGACATACATTTTCCTTCCACAAAATGTATTTGAAGACACCTTTTTGTTCTACTATGGGTAGGCAGTACTTTTAAGAATATTATTTGTCTTAAAATAGTATTGAAGGCCCTACCAATGTGTTTCAAGGAAGACTGATTAGAATTCAAGTATTGATATTGCACTTGCCAAAAGGTCCAAGAACTATCTGCAACATAGATGGCTGCAAGTTTGAGCAAGTACGTCTTCATTCTGCTCATAATAAAAATCCATAGGAACTGTACTGCTGAAAAGGCATAGAGTTCATCTGACATCCTTAAATATTTTGACAATATGTTTTTGCTATACTGTATATTCACTCACCACTCTCAGATTTGAAGCCAAAATTTAGCACATCTTCTTTGTGGTGCCTGACTGGATCTTTTTCCAATTTCACAGTGTTAGAGATTGATATAAAGCTGAAAAACTTTATCTTGCGGTTGACTAATTTTTGTCCTGCCAATTCTCATGAGTCCTGCAGACTTTTCAACTAAATGTATTTATATGAATTTGTTGAGCAAATGTTGTTTTGGTATGTTTCACCAAAACAGCTTTAGCTGATATGAATGTTTGGAAGAAAAAGGCGTTCCTTATTCTATGAAAAGTATCATTAGAAATCCTGAGATTTCATTTTTCAAGGGTTGGTTTTCTGTTACAGGTATATATTTTATGACAGGCTGAGCTTCATTAAGCCCGCTGGATATGAAAGTTATTGAACCTGAATAACTTTATGCTAATAATTGTGAAGTTATTGCATAATATAATACAATTAATTGTTTGATTAAAGGTTCGATATTTTTGGACTTGCTCCAGATTCACAGGAAGATGAAGCTGGAATCAAACAAGCATCAGAGAATGGTATATTCATGTTGTATTTGATGAAGTACATAATTATAATTGCTTGGGAATTTACCAATTTCCATCCTACTTATAAACTTGTATTTTATAAAGTTAGCTATGTTCCATTAATATTATAGAATCTTGCAAATAATCTTCATACATAAACAGTACTGTTCAGTTGTATGTTGAGTGAGAAGTCATAAATGAGTAAACAAATAAGTACTTCAGCCAACAAACTACAGTACATATGAAAATAATATGTCTGATATTTTATGATTTTAAAAAATAGCATTGTATAGCAAGAATGGTTTCTGTGAAATTCAAGCACTGAGAATACAACATCTATCATGTAGAAATCCAGATGATCAGTATATGGCAGCAAAATGATACAGACTCATTGAATTGTACAGTTGAAAGGGGACACAATCATCTAGTCAAATGCTCCCAGTATCAGGAAGATTAGGCTATTCTTAAAACATGGCTGTCCATCCACCTCTTAAAATGCTCCAAGATGGAGAACTCTAACCCCTTGTTGATAGATTGCCACATAAAATATTTTAGGTATGTGGATATAAGATCTTCATGAATCTTTGATATGGTATTGCTTCTAAAACACAACCCAGAATTGCACTAGCTTTTCTAGCAGCTGTCTCAACTATTGGCTCATATTGAGCTTGTCAGTGGCCATACCCAAATCCTTTCCAAGTTATGAATCCTCAGTCTTGTACATATGACATATATTTCCCTTCCTAACTATAATACCTTCAATTTCTTCCTGTTGAAGAGCATCTTTTTTCCAATCAGCCCAGATTTCCCACCTGGTTAGATTAGATTACAAACTTTATTCTAACATCAACAATTCCCTAGAGCCCATACTGCCTGCCTTTTAAATACACACAAAAGTAATGATTCCTTGTTGGTACAAACTGAGGGATGAGGAGAGGGGGTCATCTGAATATCAGCCCTACTTTTTCTGCTGTGATTGAAAATTGGGGCAGGAGATTAACAGAATCCCAACTAGCTCAACCCTAGTATCTAACACAATTTGAACAATTCTTGTGTAAATTATTGCAACTGAAGAACTATACAACTACTGGTACTAATGGGCCAGTAGTATTGACAGGAATTTTGGTCAATAACAGGATTTCTTATCATTCTGTTCCCTCGATCCCGTGTATGCTCTGGAGAAAGTTTAGTGCATTTTGGGGGGGAGATTAAGAATTGATTGTAGAGGCAGATGTGTGACTGACAGAGATCTCAGCCATTAGATTCAACTCACTACGTTCTATATGATTTATTTTCTTGCTGAAATAAAATGTTGGAATTATACAGTGAGTCTAAATATGCCCTTTCTTAATTATTACCATAATTAAATAATTAAATAGAACAAGCATTGCCATAATTTGTAGCATTGCATTTAAGAGCTTTGAAATTTTGATAGACTTAATGATGATTTGTAGCCTGTACATTTTATCAACTGTTTCCAGTATTATATTCTAAAACAGTTCTCCTTGAATACTGATTTTTTTTAAAAAAAATAACTATGAATCTTTTTCACTTTATATTTCTTGAATTCTTTCACCATTGCTTTAACTGCCTTAAACTGAGTCTTCTGTTTCAAGTTGATCCTTGATATATTCATCTGTTGCCTCAGATACACACACATACACCTGTCTTGTATCGCCTATTTTTAAACACAAGAAAATAATGTATTTTAGAACAAATTTAGAACTCATTTTGGAACAATTATGTGCTTCCTAAAAATGAAATTAATTATAATTTAAGATACACATTTAATAATATTAAGTAATAATTGCATAAATATAACCAATTATTTTCTTTAGACCAGTGGTTTTCAACCTGTGAGTCAGGACCTTTTGAGGGTTGAACGACCCTTTCACAGGGTCGCCTAAGACAATCGGAAAACATATTTTCAAAAAAATATAGAAAACATAAAATAATGTTATGGTTGGGGGTCACCACAACATGAGGAACTGTATTAAAGGGTCGTGGCATTCGGAGGTTGAGACCCACTGCTTTAGACTTCATTCTAAAACAATGGAATCTATATAGGTCCCAAATTAAATAAGAAAATAGAATAGTAAAAAATTAAAATTAAAATGTCAAACCCTACCCATCTTAAAGTGAAAACTCCATAGTGAGGTAAACTATATAACCATTAAATAAGTATTGTATCCATAGTACCTTTCTATGATGGTATAATATTTCTTTTATAAACATAGTTAACATTCAGTTCTTTCTTTCAGTGAACACACTTATAGAACAAGAAGTAAGGAATGGAATACCCTCAAACAGAATAATTTTGGGAGGATTTTCTCAGGTAATACTAATATAACAATTCTGATTCTATGGAAGCCCTAACAGTGTGGCAAATCTGTTGTAACTAACTTGGATTTTAAGTTATTCTTTTAATCGTTTTGGATTATAATCAAAATATTGATTCTACAAAAAGTTCCCAAACACTTTTTTAGTTATGGTTATTTAGGTCCGTGCTTATAGTAGGTATTTAGTTTGTAGCAGCATGAACACAATCCAGTTTTACTGGTAGATTTGATATGCTTGTTTAAATTTCTGTCACTGCCCCTTCATTTAATAACCAAGAAAGAAACCACTCAACTCCATATTTCAGAATTAAGTGTACTTTTACTGGCTACAAACGAAAAGAAGCAAAGCAAAGCAAAGCTGAATCTGAATAAAAAGGCGCGAAAGCAATAGATATCAATACAAGATTCATTCCCCTCCCCTTGGTACCCCAGTCCATAGTCCAATCATATTTCACCCAACTGTCAGGTGGGAGACATCTTCAAAAATCATCATCAGGATGGAATGCTGGACAGTTGGCCTTGGCAGGAAACTCCCTTCCTTCCACATGCGCAAAGAGATGGTGAGAATAACTCCCTAATAAACAGTCTTCCAGTACAGAATGATTCCCTTCCCAAATACCATGCCCCCCTCCCCGTTTCAATGGCAGCCGAAAAGCAGCAGCGAAGCAGAGGCTGACAGTACTTTTACTGGTTATAAGTAGATA